CGGGGTGCGCGGCGCTGCGAAGGGAACCGTAGAAACGCTCAATGCGATCGCATTTTCGGTGCCTTCCCCTCCTTGTTATTTGATGTTTTAGCCCGATTGCAGTCTCTCCGAATTAAATCAGCGAGACTTTTGTCAAAGTGTTTTGATTTTCAGCCCCGTCTTCCCTTCAGCCCTCTGTACGGGTGGAGGGAAGAGAAGGGGAAGTCAGGAAGCAAACGTATTTAGGCTATATCCTCAAATACATCTTGTAAAGCTATCCGAGCTGCTGAATTTATCCTGGGTCTTCTCCATCCCTGGGCTCACCCAGCCGCTGTCCCCAGTGCGGGCCTTTTGGGAGGTGAATTAAAAGTAATAAAGGTTAAATTTCTCTGGCACATAACAAACCCTGCTGTCCATCTTCCACTTCTTCATCTGCCGTGGTGCTTGTGCATCCCCAAGGTGGGGCGAGCAGGGCAGAGGCTCTCCTGGGAGGATGCAGGCAGGCATGGAGAGGGGAACATCCCTCCTTCACCCTCTCTGAATTTCGCAGGTGAGAAGCCCTTCAAGTGCGAGTTTGAGGGCTGCGACAGGCGCTTCGCCAACAGCAGCGACAGGAAGAAACACATGCACGTCCACACCTCGGACAAGCCCTACATCTGCAAGGTGTGCGACAAATCCTACACCCACCCCAGCTCACTTAGGAAACACATGAAGGTAATCCCCCCTGCGCTCCAGCCCCTTCCTCCCTGAGCAGAGATGCTCACTTGCCAGCGTGCTCGGGGCCGGTGCCTGCCACAGCGCTCCATGCTCCCGATGGAGCACGGCCCGAGCCATTCCCGGTGTTTAGGCCGAGGCTGGAGCACAGCTCAGGGAAATGACGTAGTTTCTTTTTGTGCTCCCACTGGTGCCCAGTTTACAGAGTGTGGCTGGGTGCTGGAAGGCTCTGTAAGTGCAGCCTGGCCTGCAGCTGCAGCCCCCCAATGCCCGGATGCTGCAGCCCCTCATACTGGGATGCTGCAGCAAAGCGGCCAGGAGCTGAGGCAGGCATTAGCTCCGCTGCTCAGTGTGGCCAGCACGGCATGAACTACCTGCTTATGGCACCAAGCATCTGGCCCCCGGTGTCCCTTTGGCATGGGGGAGCATCCCAACCTAGCTCAGCGGGATGATGGGGACCCTGAGCTCGCTCCCATCTCTGCCTCTTGGTTTTAGGTGCACGAATCCCAGGGGTCGGACTCTTCCCCTGCGGCCAGTTCGGGCTACGAGTCCTCCACCCCCCCCGCAGTGGGCTCTGCCGGCAGTAAGGACTCCACTAAAACGCCGCCGGCCGCTCTTCAGAGTAACCCCGGCCACAACCCTGGACTGCCCCCCAATTTTAACGAGTGGTATGTGTGAAAGGCAGCTGCTGCCCGGCCACAGACTGGACCAAATGCGTTGGGAACGAGGGATAAAAAACAACCCAGGACAAAACCAAGCCAACTGCAGCTCGCTCCCACGGAAATGGAGTTTCCACACCGATGACCACATAGGGCTACACCTAGTTAATGCCAGGAGCCGGAGGGGGGGTGTGTGTGTTGTTATTATATTATAATTATTCCTATTTTTTGCAAGCCCAGACGCTGGACTAGCCATGTCCTTTTCTCAGGATTAGATTTCTCTTTTTTTCCCCCCTTTTTCTTGTCATCATTTTTTGCAGTCGTGTCTTTGATATTTTTTTTCCCTTCCTTACCCGAATCCTTCTTCCTCCGATTCCCCACTTCGATTTTTTTTTTTTTTTCTTTTTCTTTCCTTCTCGATTTGTTTTGGTTTTTCCTCTTTCGGTGGGATGTTGACATGAGGATGAAAATTCTCCTTCGCCTTAGTGGTGATTGTTGAAACTTACAGTCTTAAACCGTGCCAAAGTCCTGTTATGTCTTGAACTTTCCTCTCTAGCTCTCCTGCTGCTTCTTTCTCTGCTCTCCTCCTCTTTCTCCTTCTCTCTCTCTCTCTCCAAGCATTACACTTGTGAATGTATTCTCGTCTGATGGGGTCGGTCAGTATTTTTCAGGATGAGGATGTGGTGTTTATTCTACCCAGATTGTGACGTTTAGTATTAAACAGTTGCCTTTTTGTAAGAACTTTTTTTATGTAAATACATACCCATGATGCCATATTTATCGTTCGTAATTTAATTATTGATACGAAAGTGCCGGGAACTGAACAATATTTATGGGGGAGAAAAAAAAAATAATTGTTTTCTAACAAAAAAAAAATACAAACAGCAAAAAA